AGCCGTCCGATGCAAATATTCATCTCCGAAACATAATACTCCTCACTGAGGAAATAGTCAGGAACAAACATGCAGGAACCTTTCTCAGGAGTTTGGAGGCTCACTTTCTGAATCCTATTCACCTCCACCGGTCCAAATGCATTACTGTGATGTCCCCTTGAGTAGGAGAGATTATAGGAGAACTTCCCAACTCCTGGAGCACAAGGTGCTATACAGTTCACAGTCACATGCATTCCTTGTTGCACCCTGAAACTTTGAACCACAACCAATGGACCATCTCTACGCTCCTGAAAGACTTTATTCTCCATACCATTGTACAAGAATGTGCTGTGGGAAGTGCCACACACGAAATAATCATAGTCATTGTGGTTAGCATAGAAGTGACTGTAAAGATCCTTGTACTTGCCCGTGTAGTTGCAGTTTCGTGCAGGACAGTAGCACAGAGCGAAAGCGCATTCCTCCTCGTGGGCTAATTCTTTGCCATAAGAGAACTTCTGAGTGCAACCATGTTTGGCGTTTGGGCACGGGACAATGCTTGCTTCTACAATGCTCTCGGCAAATCTGCATCGAATTTTACCAGTGGGAACTTTGCAGGTAGGGCATTTGTTCATCAGTTTAGTACAGCAAGAAGAGCAAGCTATATGTCCATTGTCACACTGAGATGCAAAACCCACAAAAGTAGTTGTTATTACCAATGTTGTAACAAGTATTATAGAGAGAGAAAAAACGTAGCAATGCATTGTTGAACATATGAAGTCAATGAAGATTTAATCTGAGAAATCAGATTCCAAGTCAATCATCCATAATGTTTCAAGCAATAAATTCTCATGACTCGTTTCCTATTCCATCGAAAGGGAGAAAAAAAAAAAAGTGTTCTTTACGAACCAAGATCAACAAAAGCTACGATTCATCTCACATATGTGCTAGTAAATGACTACATGCTTCATTTCCTTGGATTATCAACTTCATTTCCATTTTTCGAAAAACTGAATCAACCAAGCGATAATCAACCAGGAAGAATAATAAAGAGCAAACGCTAAAACTGGTAATCAACAAGACCTGAAAGGTCGGAATCAGCAAACGGGACAGTCGAGAAGATTTCGTGGAATCTCCGTCGTTATCACCTCATCACCGTCTCTATTCCGATCTCCACTCGCAGCTTCTTCAACAGGGGAGGGAAGTCGTTGTCTCTTCCGGCGGCTGCTCGACGCTTCATCCCCGAGGGATAGCTCGGGGCTTGTCTCTTCCACCATTCCTATCTATCCAAATCGCGTCTGGATTCGCCAAACAGAAAAAAGTGTCTGAAAACCCTAATCCCCTTTTCAACCATTCACCTCCTTAAGTTGTAAATCGAATATCTTTATAAGTATGAGAGTATTTTGTAAGTAGATAAAATTCAAAAACTGTAATTGGTAGCTTGAAAATATGTTTGATTTTGCAGCTCTTGTGATTAAAATGGCAGAAACCGAAACCTGTTGATCATCTAAAGCTTCCTTAAGCTAATCAATACAACAAATCATCTATTTTTGCCTTCAAATTACTTCGAAAATCTATCAGAGAAATGGTACAAACACAGGAAACGCCAAGTTATATGGTTGCAGCTAATACAATAACATGAACAATTTATAAGAGAGACAGTAAACGCTGCAGCAACAGTTCTATTCGGGAGCGGCGTTTCCATTCTGTATCATCGAGTGCTCGTTCGGCAAATTCTTATTATCGTTCTTGGTTCCTTCAACTTTCCAAAGATCCCATACTTTGGTTTTAGGCGGAGGAGTACCATCTCCAATTGGTGCGATTAGTCCCGGTTTGCCATCATCAATTACAGCGTCTATCAAACCATATTCTTTCGCTTCCCACGGATTCAAGAAATTATCACGGTCTGTGTCATCTTCAATCTGTTGCAGGATAGCGTAAAAAAGTTGGAAGGAAAGAATCATGTAGAAGAAAACATATAAAATTTCTCGATCAAAAGATATAGAAATACCTGTGATTCGGGCTTCCCGGTGATTCTAGAGAAGATTTTGTTAAGTTTAATCTTGTGGTACATCATCTCTCGTATGCGTATACCCATTTCTGTTGCCTGAAAGTAAACATTCAAGGTTTGTGTTATCTAACATTAATTCAGTTGAAGAGAAAAGCATGAAACAGATCAAATTATCTTACTTTGCCTCCAGCGGTACCAAGTGGCTGATGGATCATAACTTTAGAATTAGGCATGCAATACCGTTTCCCTTTTGAACCAGAAGCAAGGAGAAACGCGCCCATAGATGCGGCTAGCCCTAAGCAAACGGTCGACACATCCGCCTTGCATTGTTTCATCGCATCATATATTCCCATCCCTGAAATAAACCATAGCATTTCAAAAAATCGAAAACTCGAGATCCATACGGAAACTTCCTGCAGTAGAAAGAAACGATAAAGAATATGGCGAGAATATGGGAACATACCAGCAGTAATAGATCCACCGGGTGAATTGATAAACAGCGTGATGTCTTTCTCTGAGTCCTCAGCATCTAGTAACAAGAGCTGACTTATGACTAAATCTGCTGTCATATCATCGACCTGGAGAATAATATCAAATCCAAGAAAAGATGAGACTCGGTAAAACAAGAACACAACTCTCCTCTCTCTAAGTCTCATCGAACAAATATATCGAGATGATCAAGTTACTGTGCATTCGAGGAAATGCTAAGGGAAGCCTAAACTATATCAACTGATCCAAAAGTCATTCTAATCAGC